AGCATTCATTCATCCTCGTTTACTCTTAGTTATGCAATGAATAACTAGCATGCATGCCTCATTGATTCGTCAATCATATTGCATTAGGTTTGAGTAGGTTTGCTTGGGGACAAGCAAACGCCTAAGTGTGGGGAAGTTTGATAACACCAAAATCGGTGTTATTTACCCTTCATCTTAGGGTATGTTTGTGCCAATTCATGCGCTTAAGCGTTTAAACATCGTCAATTACATCCCTATTTCATTCTTATTTGATTTTGATGTGGATTATAGGATGTATTAGTCAATATGTGCAAATTAGGTAAAAAAACAAGGTCACAAGTGTAGAAAAGGGGCAAGGATCAAAGATAGTGGCCTAGAAACCAAAGATCACGGTCGGGATTTCTAGTCGTGAAGACTCGCTGAAGATCGCGGCCGAGAAGCCAAAGATTGCGACCGTTATCTTGGAGCCCCAGGGCGTGAACTTTGCGTGGAAGGAGCCATGGATGAGCAGAGACTTTCCCCCAGTCGAATCAAGGCCACCGTGCAAATTGCTCGCGAGGAAATTCACGACCGCGACTCAAGGATCGCGACCGCAAAGTCAGGCCGCGATCTCCACCGTCCTTAAGGCCTCGACTCCAATGTTTTGAGATCACGGCCAAGTGACCAAAGATCACGACCGCCTCTTCCTACCACAGGCCGCAAACTTCCCGAATCCAAGTTTCCTATAAATAGAAGACTCCCTTCCCCCTTTTCAAGAGAGCTGATTTGGGTGAAATTTCTGGTTCTAGAGAGAGAGAAGAGAGATAAGTTGAAGGGAGAAGAAGAGAAGGAGGAGCAAGGAGGCATCTTCTTCCCCAAGTCTTCTTCTGTTTCTACAATGTATCTTCTTCCCTCCTTTATGGAGTAGCCCTCAAAGGTACTAGTGGTTCTAAACCCCACATCCTAGTTTTAGGGTTTATTATGTATGTATGGATATTTTAGGGTTTGAATGAATGAATGTGTTTGTCTAGTTGATTTTTAATATCACTCTTTCCTAAATGATGACGCTTGGGTAAGTTGCCCTAATTTGCCCTCTTAGCCTACTTTATGCTACCACACTAGGTAAGGAGTTCTAGGGTTAGACAGGTATGCGCCAGCTGGCGATTTTAGGTTAGATGTGTGAATGGGGGCCTATAGTGGCCGAGGAGACCGAATCCTTGCTATAGGTAGCCTTCCTAGATGGAACCCTTGATGAAACCTCGGTGTGGACGGTGGATAGTCTCCACTAAAATGAGCCATAACCTTAAAGCTCCATATACGATAGCCTAGATCGAGGTGACTAAAACATGGTTTAGGGGAGGCGTACTCGGAGGCACATGGATAACGACGAAGGTCCACAGAAAAGAGTTCACTCACCACATTCGATAACCCTAAGTATCTATAAATGCATAGTATCCCTAAGCTAGGGGGAGGATTAGTTCCCCGAAGTACCTGCTTTTAGCTTTGATCAACCTTTAGACTAGTATTTCTTCATATCCTCCACTCAAAACCTCAAAAATTGATTACCTAATTAACAACAAGGTGGGGAGTAGGCTAGGGTACCAGGACCCGAGTAGAATACAACCTTGATTACCATTATACAACAATGTCGTCCTAGGTTAAACTTGGCTTAGGATGGGATAGTTGTTGATACGTGCAAACCACTGACAATAACATGCACTGATTCAAGTGACCAGGAACTTTAATAGCTATAGAACTATGTTTCTACGAAATTGTGAGCTATGTTACTAATTGTTAAGTGTTAATTAAGTAATTAATTATCTGAACTGAAATATGAAAGTGTTGTAAAAAGGCTATTTTATTTACCATTCGAACAAACTGTTATTTATGGTTCCAACGTATAGACACGCTTAAGTGATGTCTAAGCAAACTAGGCGCTAGGCAAGGCTTTAACGCCTGCCTTACGTCTACTGCCTTCTTGAACCTTGATAATAAGGTTGTTTCAACATAAAAATAAAAAGAGAATCATGAATGCGTATATTCTTCCTACCTAATTCGAGAATCCATTTGAACATTATACGCCTATCTCTTCTCACTTGAATGCATTCCCTTAAGATATTTTTACGAGATTAAACTTGCCAAATGAAGAATTATCTCATCAAAATTTGCTTGTACTTATCCAAAAATTTAATCCCAATGATTCACCTTGCATACAAATAATTGGGAAGGGTCGAGTTGCACTATTGAACTACATCTTTGTTTAAGGACAAGAAACTGCTTAGATGTGGGGGATTTGATTCACACTTTATGCATATTTTAGACCCCAATCATTAGATGTTCGAGTGTCATAATTGTTATACTTAGGCCCTTTCAGGTTGTAATTCTGCTATGTGAAGTTAAATGGTAGTATTCTAGGACTTAACACGACTTTTTTTTTGTGATTTGAGCTAATAATGATGTTTAGGGACGAAGCTGACTGCAGCCAAAAAGATTATGACGGGAAATATCAGACCATATCATGAAATAAGCACGATGCTCGTTACCTCAAGTAAGATAACTTGAGTATCGAGGTGCGTTGGTTCGAGGGGCCTAGCTAGTAACCCACTTTAACGAATTGAATTATGTTGTTTAATTTATTTAGAGCTAATACCACTTGGAAATCCAAGCTATCAAGAAATTGTCATTTGTATTATTCAATATTTCATTTATGTCCTAAACTATTATTCCGTTAGTGTTGATAGACGTTTACCGTTAGAACTTAACAGAAACTGTAGTCAACGTTGATGTAGAAAATGATGTGTAATTTTAGTTCAATTTTATTGAAGAAAATAATTAAAATTAAAAACAATGATATAAAAAACTTTCCAAAAAAATTGAAAACATAAAATCCGATTTTGCCTTTCCTCTCTATCCTTCTACGCCTGGCGACTAGTGATGGCAATGGGGCGGGGCGGGGCGGGTACCTTAATTCCCATGTCCCGCCCCACGCTATTACGGGTCGGGTGGGTAAAACCCGCGCGGGTATGGGGTGGGGCGGGTCGACCCGCTCTTACATGTTGTTCAAAAAAAATACAAGTAAATTTTACTTTTTACAATAAAATGTAGGGAAAAATACTTTAAGAATGAAAAATATTGATAATAGAATGGATAATTGAGCCTAACAAGTTGAAAGATAGACTCTAACTAGTTGAAGAAAAGTCAAAATAGGAGAAATATGTATAAATATTGTAAGAAATTGAGATAAAATGAGTCTAGAACAGGGCGGGGCGGGGTAGGGCGGGTCGGAAGTAGATACCCATGCTCCGCCCCACGCTACTGCGGGTCGGGTAATACCCGCCCCTTCGCGGGTCAGGTCGGATAATACCCACGGAGCGGATTGAAATTGCCATCTATACTGGCGACTCTTGAGAGCGACCTCGACGCCTATTGATTCTTTCAGGAAGTCCTCACCGCCCAACGATTTCCGGCGGAGCTCTCTGCTCGTAGTAAATCGAAGGAATTCACCATGGACCTTCCTAATCGCTCTGAACCTAAACATAATCTCTCTGGACTTTCCTAATCGAAATAAAAATCAAATTTACATCACCGTCGCCTTTTTTAGTTGGAAATCACTTCGTGGGAAGACCCTTCTAAGGGATTGAGTGATGGAGTGTCGTAGATCTGGATTCTGGAGCAGCCCCGACAACCCAATCCGCCACCACCACACTCCTCCCACTCCGCCACCACTCCAATCTAACCCAACAACCCAATCTCAACACGAATTAAAAGCTATCGTGATATTCTCTTTGATCGTATAGCCATGTTCTTCAAGGCTAGGTGCCTCCACGAGCAACAAGAAGCAGATGAAGCAGTCGGTAGCGAGCTGTATTTGGAAGGAGATGAGCCCAGCGGATTTTCCTTTTTTTGTCTTTTTTTAAAGTTTAAGTTAACTTGAAATACAAATTTATTTTGACGTGCCAGCCTATGTGGCCGCCACATATGTGCCATATGTGCAACAATCATCACTTAACGAACGTCCGTCTAGTCAATCGTTATATCTAACGGTCAACAACATTGTTAGACCATAAATGACATAAAATTATTATAAGGTCGGATTTTTTTAAAATATTGAATAGTTCGGGACACAAATGATATTTTCTTTATAGTTCGAGTTTCCCAGTGGTATTAGTTCATTTATTTAAGTTCAAGTATTACATTATGTCATTTATGATCAATCTTTATGTCTACGTTAAGTTATGCACATATAAGCTTTTATGTTAAGTTGTTAATGTTCATTTCTTAAGTTTCATCAAGCACATCTTTGCATTGCATCAAAAAGTAATGTTTAAAGACACTGAAAAACAAGTTATGTTTGAAGTAAGCTGGTTTATATCTTCCTAGTCCCCACTATGTGGAAGATTATGTCAAGCAAGTAAAAGTTATGTCATGTTAAACAAGTAAATAAGAACAAGTTTTAACCCTCACTAACTAGCTATATATGGGGCCACCACAGTTCTCAGAGTGAGAAAGTCTTTTGTATGTTACCCACTACTTTTTTCTTCTTTTGGTTTCTCTTTTGTCAGATCAGATAAGTGTGTGTTGGACAACATAGGACCAAACTTGTCAAACCAGTTATACCGGTGCGCCGGATAGTCAAACCGTGGTACAACTGGTATATATATTGATTTATGTCGGTTCTGAAAATATATTTAATCTATATGATAAAATATCAATCATCCATCTGAATTCTTGAAAGTGGAAGCATATGACAAAATAATAAAAGTGAATGGCCAAAACCATCTCAAATTTATACCCTCCCATCTCTTCTGCCTCTACTTAACCCACTATCACTCAAAATCTGTAAACGACCGTCGCCTCCACCAAAACTTTCCTCCAATCTCACAATCGTCGCTCTCTATCCTCGGCCACATCACCCTCTTGAAACCCCCAATTCAACGCTGCTTCCATGCCCTCGTCCAAGACCACAACCGATCTTCTCCCTCCGCGCCTCAACCCTCAGGACCCACCTCGCCGTTGTGGTCTCCTCCGTCTCTTTAGCATTGATGCCGTGGAGATCCGCCTACTGCCTCGACACCATCTTCTCCACTATCCGCGATGCGTCATGCGTATCACCACCCTGTCCGAGAACTGAATCGCCACGGTGCAGATTCTCCCCGGCCTGCCATAAAAGAATCGTCGCAGCTACTGTAACGTCCCATCGTGCCTTGCTTGCCGAGCTTGCTGGTATGCATATGCAGCTTTAGGGTTTGTAGCGGATGAAGGAGAAAGGCAGAGAAGAGAAAAGGCGCAGCGACGATAGAGCTGAATTAGGCCACCAAAACGATAATTGTTCGTTTTTTTAATTAAAACACCACCAAAACGATGACGCTGCACTACAGATCCGGAATTAGGCCAGCCGGTTGAACCACCCAGAATTCCCAGTTTTGACAGGAATTGATCAGTGTTGACTCATTTTGACATGTCTATCATGTTAGTGGCATTCCAGTCGGTTTCATGATCGGTATCATTTGAACCTGATTCAGCCGGCTAGCATGCTACCGACATGACAATTATGCCCACTCCTTTGGATAAGGATCCCATGTTCAAGTTCAAGTATGTTGGTATCAGAAGGTCCCCTAGCTAGCGGGGGGTTACCTCGCCTCCGACAGTGATGGAGGTTTATGTTATCATATTTTGGTGGCTGGACGGTTGCCCTAGCATTATGTATGGATGTATGTATGTATCTGTGTGTGCGCGCACGAACTGATGTAGCAAGCGGTGCCCATATTATTGGTTTAGCCGATATTAAACCGTTAATGAACCGGTATCTCATAATCAAAAATATTATAAGTAGGCAACACATAATGCACATTGAACCATAAATTCATAATAAAATATATTATTCAAAAACAAACATGAGTACTTAGGGTTAATACCCTATTTTGGCCCGAAGTTTAGCGTAAGTGACAATTTTGGCCCCACTTTTTAAATAAGACATTTACGGCCCACTTTTGAAATTATTAGACAAATTTGGCCTATGGGATGGTTTGACTGTCAGAATTGACGGTCAACCATTTTTTCTGTCACTGACTCAGCATTCGTCCGCTGACTAGACTTGTCCACATCATTTACAAATAAAAATAAACAAAATAAAATAATAATAACAAAATAAAAAACAAACAAAGAAAATAATAAAAAGAAAGAATTAGAGAGAGGGGTCACGAGGACCACTACCTCTTCTTCTTTCCCTTATCGTTTCAGTTCCCATTTTCGTTTCAGTCCATCGTTTCTCCTTCCCGATCCGTTCTCGAGCGACCGGCGACGGGATTCCATTACATCTCTCTTTCTTCTCCGTCTTCTCCCTCCTTCTCTCCGCCCGACCAAACCCAATAGCAGTTTCAATCGTGACCCCGATTCCATTCCATCAATAGCTCGTCTGGCCGGCGAAAGAGAGAGATTTCGGTTAGTCAAAGGAAGGTATTGATAGCCAGAGAATCAACCTTAGGTTTTTGATTCACTGATAGCTAGAGCAGAACAAGAACTGGTGAGTTTGGCCTCCCTTGAATCAGCGTTGGGTTTCTAGTTTTCGATTCCCCTTGAGAAGAAAAGGCGACATGAACTGGAAGGGAAGATTCAGTTACAAAGTGACAAAATTGAAGAAAAGGAAGCGAATGGCGACGTGGAAAAGGCAGGGGAGAGGTGGCTTCCTTCGAGATCGAAGTTCATATTTGAAAGAAAGGCCAAGCTCGGTGGCAGCACGAACTTTCAGAATAGGCAAATCTCGCCTCCTCTTCCTCAGAGAGAACGGGAATGTTGAGCCCAGTGGCAACACAAAGTGTTTCTATGAACTTGGCTCGGTTGGCAACCTCCCGGACGGCTGAACTCGTGACGCACCCGGTTTGGCGAGGATTTTGGCGTGTGGAAGCGAAGGATGAGTCGGCCGAACAATGTTTGGTCGGACGAAGAGAATAAGAGGGGTTTTCTTAATTTGTTAAAAAAATGTAACTGAATCATAAAATTAAAATAATATATTATTTAATGACGTGGCATGCCACATCAGCAAGTATTTTTGAGTCACTGACAGAATAGTCTTGACCGTCAATACTAATGGTGAAAGAAAATTTTGGGCCAAATTTGTCTAATAGTTTCAAAAGTAGGCCACAAATGTCTTATTTAAAAAGTGGGGCTAAAACTGTCACTTACGTTAAACTTCGGGCCAAACTAGGGTATTAACCCAAAATATTAAAAGAATTCTCTTTTGTTCTCTCTCCTGAAATTTTCTCTAATCTGATCACGTTATGGTGGCTTCATCGCCAGGAGCAGCTCCCCCAGCTGTGTCCTGGGCTTCCTGATTCTCAGTCGATCCAAAAAAACGAATGACATTCCGACCTCTTGAGCACAAGGATGATGGATTTCATCTTCCCCACGAAGTAAAGAAAAGAGGCGATGAGAGATGGAAGGGCAGTTTTAATAGCTCAATTAATCGATCCTCCTACTAAACTAACATCTCTTTAGCAATGGACAACTAGTCTCTAGGATCGAGATAGAGTGGTTAGAGTTTCAAAGTTTGGTCCGATGGTGTTTCAATTTCCTTCAACATCTAAAAGTAAGTGGGTCTTTAGCTTGGGGCCTTGGAAATTTCAAGGAAACTCGGTCTATTTGCGGAAATGGTCTCAAGGTATTCAGCCTGTAACTCCAATTGTGGAAACACTTCCCATCTGGGTTTGAAATTTGGGGATTCTCCTTTAGTATAACTCGTTCGAAGGACATGAGTGGATTGATAGTACCTTGGTCCTCCATTATGGATGGTCTCCTAGGGTTGGTGGTCAATTAGGATATGCAAAATTTTGTTTAGATCTTGCAGTTGATTGTGAGTTTCCTTCCTGCATGAGACTATATCCAGATGATGACTCCTCTTTTAACGTAGAGGCAAGCTATTTCAATAAGCCTATTGTTTCATCTAGGTGTGAGACATTCGTTCATGATTGTGATTGATTGGCAAAAATGGGAAAGAAATGGGTTCCCACGAAGAAAGTTATAATTCCCCCTATTAACGGGAACCAAGTAGTGAGCAAGGAACTGAAGGATACTTCTGATCATGTGTTAGTTGAATAGCAACTTGGGAAGTAGATTGAGATTTTTCACACTCAAGAGCCTGGTAGTTTTGGATCTAAGGATGTAATGCTAGAGGCTCAGGATTGTCTAGGTATAGAGGCTACTGATCCAGCTCATGTAATAATTGGGAGCTCAGCTGTTAGTTTTGTGGAGTGGTTACAAGATCATAAGCTTCTACTGGGAATCCAGCATCGCCTCTACAATAGCCTGCTAGCACTAACTCACTAGATGATCCTGGAAGGTTAGTTCTTCGAAAAACTCTTACTGAGAAGGAGACGAATCCTTGGATTACAATTGGTGAAAAACATTCAAAGAAGAAGGCTCCAAATCCCTATGTTGCCCCTACTAAGAAAGGGGGGGAGATCAAGTAAGAAAAATGAGGATTTTAGTTTAGAATATCAGAGGATACAAAGATAGTGATAGTAATAAGGCTTTACAACTTATAGTTAATACTAAAAACATCAGCCACGTTTAAAAAGATCATGAGTCTAAAAAGCTCATTCCAAAAAGATTTTCAGGACGAAAAAGTGCATTGACAAAGAATGCAAAGGGTCTTGGTAAAATTTGGCTAATGTGGAAGAAGGATGTCAGTTTAAGAGTGTTGGATAAATCTTATTAGTGCATCCATGTCCTAGTGAGTTCATGATTTCCTTTCTTTATTTCAATTGTTGATGCCTCGAATGAAGGATAAAACTCTATGGTGATCTTTTAATATACAAGGTAGACCAATTACCGTGGACAATTCTCGGTAATTTCAATGTACATATCTTAGAGACGTCTCAAAAAATCCTGATTATAATGGTAGCATGGAAGATTTCAAGGTGTGGCTGCATCACTCAGAACTTGAGGATCATAAAACCTCTGGTCCTTGATTTACCTAGACCAACAAGCAATTAATTAACCCTATTACTAGATGACTTGATAGGGATTTTGTGAACTTAATCTGACTATTCTCTTCTCATAACAATATAGTGGAGTTAATGGAAGCATCAATCTCAGACCACTTTCCCATATTCTTAGATACTAACAGCTCCATTAAGTCACTGCCTAAACCTTTTGAGTTCTTCTAAGTTTTGGATATTAAGCAAGTTTGGGCTTCTGAGGTAGAAAGCTCATCACATGCAAAAGTGTGTAAGAAACTTTGGATATTGAAGCAAATGTTGAAAGAACTAAATAAATAGGAGTACTCAGATATAAGGGAGAGAGCAAAAATGAAGGAAATAGAACTACAGTATGCATAAGCAAAAGTTCTCACATCACCTACTAGTGATGCATTTGAATATGAGAAGGTGAAGTGTAAGGAACTTAAAAAGTTGAAGTTGGATGAGAAATCTTTTCTCCGCCAGAAATCGAGGGAGATTTGACTCAAGGTGGGTGATTCAAACTCTTCCTATTTCCACCGATCAATGTGGATTCATCACAAAAAAAAAAATCAGATCTCTACTTGATGAAGATGGTCTTAGAGTAATAAATACAGAATCAACGAGTGCTATATCGGTTTCATTTTATAGAGACTTGTTGGGGAGAAAAGACTAGTTAGTTCAAGCTCAGTCGGTTGATTACTGTAAGGGTTTGCTAAAGAAAAAGTTGCACAGATCACATGCTCTAGATCTTAGTAGACCAGTCACAAAAGAGGAGATTTAGAGAACTATGTTTGGCTTCAAGGGAGAAAAGAGCTCTGGACCCGATGGGTTTTCTGTTTGTTTCTTCAATGCCGCCTGGAGCATTGTTGGCGAGGAGATCACTTCTACAATCCAATATTGCTTTGCTAAATCTAGTTTTCCAAACGAGGTAAATTCCAATCTTTTAACTCTAATCCCTAGGACTAAGTACCCTAAGGAGATGAATATTTTAGGCTAATTTCCTGTTGCAATATTTTAGGCACTAATTTTGGTATTCCATGCATTCAAAATGTTCTTGCTTAGTTTAGATTTCTTTCAGGCTTATCTCTAATCTTTCAAAATGTGAGTTGTATTGTGGAGAATTACCTTCCGTCTGGAAAGAGAGAATGATAGAGAGGGCTGGTTATAAATTAGGAACCCTTCTAGTGAGGTATTTGAGGATTCCTCTCATACCTAGTAAGCTTATAGTTAAGACACGTACTCCATTAATAGATAAAATCATGCATAGAATTTAGTTTTAGGGTCGAAACAATTGAGTTATGCAGGAAAATTTCAGCTAGCAATGTTTGTTCTCTATATCTTGGTTCAATTTTTGATGGTAGAGTTGATTCTTCCTAAGAGAGTGATCAAGGAAATTGAAAACGTTTGTAGTGATTTCTTGTGGGGAGTTGAAGCAGAAGAGAAGAAGAAAGCTACAGTGGGTTGGAGTAAAATATGTCTTCCCAAAAATGAAGGTGGATTGGGAATCAAAGATCTCTATAGTTGGAATTAGGCAGTTGTAGTAAGAAACATACGGGATCTTCTGCTTAAGAATTGATCCTTGTGGGTAGCATGGATGCAAGAATATAGGCTGCACAACAATGATCTATGCTTAGTTGACTGCAAAACAGGTTCTTGGCTCTGGCAAAAGATCCTCAAGATGAGGGGAAAGGTTCAGGGGACCCTTGAAGGGAAGGATGATGTTGGCTACTAGAAAGGTAAGACTTGAAGGAAATTTTACTTGAATTTGGCCTGGGAAGAAATTTTACTTGAAATTTTACTAGAAAGTGAAGGATGATGTTGTTCCTTGGTATAATTTGTTATGAAAGGCACTGGTGTACATAGTAATTAGTTTTTTAGTTGGCAAGTCATAAAAGGGTGTCCTTACCACTTGTGACAAGCTAATAAATTCTGGTTATCAAGGAGTTTTCACCTTTTTATTTTTTGTAAATGTGAAGTGGAAACATTTAATCACTTATTCTCTGAAAGTTTGAGGTTTAGCATATGTATTTTGAGTTATTCTCGAAGTTCACTTGCAGGGCTCCTTCTAATGACTGGAAATTTGAACTCCAGTGGGCTATCTCCTCATTTTCCTGGGTCAGATCGCCACTCCAAAGCTGGCAGGATCCTCTGGCATATCCTTTTAAGCTCCATATGGCGAGAAAAGTGTGCAACTTGACATGGCCAAGCTATCCAACATGCTGATGATGTGGTAAAGAAAGCTAGGCAAAATTTGATTATTTTATGTAATAGTGATGAAGTTGTTATCTTTTTGTAGTCGAATTAGATCTTGGCTCCTTAGGTCCCTGAGTTAATCTAGCAAATCTCCTTCTTGTTGTATCCCTAAGTGTCAAGTGGTGTTGCCACAAGTACCTCCCTATTTTTTATGAAACAAAAGCAACAACCATTCATAAAAAAACATTGAACACTAAAGTTCTAAACTATAAATCTAAAAATTTATTCTAATATATTCCTACCAAATGATTTTATAACTAAGTATACATCTTTTATTCTATAAAAATAAAATTCATTTGTTGATAATACAAGTGATTTTCTCAAATAGAAACTACTAACTTATATATGACCCGTTGGTCGGACGACTCTTTCGAATTATTCCGGTACAAATGATTTGAGTTTGGTTGTCTTATACCTGACCCATTGGCTGGACAATCCTTTAAATCATTCTGAGACAAATGACTTGAGTTTGGTTGCCAGAAACCCCATTATTTCTGGTGAAAAGCTTAGAGGAAATCTAATGAATAGAAGGGGAAGTGAGAAAACAATGCCATTTGTTCTTGAGATGTGGATAGTATGAAGATTAACAACACTATGCATTGCAATCATCCAAACCTTTGGTGTGACAGAAAGAATCTTCAATATTCACT